TCTGTTGAAAATATTTGTCAATTTTGTTCATGGAGATTATCTTTGCTCTATCTGTAGGAAAAGGGACTGCTGTGCAACTAGAAATGTAAACAGGAAAAAGCTTTAGCTTTTCCTTTGGGCTCAAAAGTCAACTTGTTATTTATTTTCTGTAAAGTACTTACAAATCCACTTCGATAAGTATGTGGTCGAAACCATTTGGGCTAAATGCAAGTCATTTTTGGCCATGTGGAGTTTTAAATGTCTCTATGCTTTATGTTCCTGATAGCCTTCCTTATTTCTGTTGGAAGCATTACTCTATCAATTTTAAGACAAGAAATTGCACAAAACATCTTTTTCTCCCCCTCCGAAATTAACCAAATTTTCCTCTCAGCTTGGGGAACCGGAAGAAGCTTCTGCCATAGCTATTTGGCAACCCCACCGTTTGTGACTCAGTTGGAAGTGTATAAAAGGTAGAGCAGTAAGGGAAATATGGATCTCAAAGTCTATGCACTTTGCTTCAGCAGGGTGAAGACACGCCCTCAGGTCTGAGCCTATGAAGAAGGGGCTTTCTGATTGAATTCCACGGTTATCTGGTTTCCATTTAGCTTTTAGCAGACAGCAGATCAGAAACAGGGAGGAGATTTGTAGTGGGCAGGGCTACTAGAAGTAGATTCTTCAAGAAGTGACAGCTAATTCAGAACCTGCAGAGACAGCACAGTTAATAGCAATAAAGCTGTTCGGAGCCATTAATGTAAAGCCCTAAAGACATTGTCACGTTATAGCCTAGTCAGTAAACAATATTCAAGGTGATGACACTGAGTCATCTGGGGAAAAAAAAGACACATAAAATAATGCTTAAGGCAACATCCTAACGAGGATGGAATATACGTTAGAAACAAATTCTATCTTCAGCGGTTTAAAAATGCACAACTGGTATAATCAACGCAGTACATTTTCATTTTGCTTATGTGGGCCTACTCATTCTTAGAATATGATGGGTTTTCTATAGATAAAACTTGGACTATGGACAATTCTCCCATTTCCCTTACTTCTCAAAGTGACCGAATTATCACACAACTCCTCTCATTTGGGGTGGCTTTTATTACTAGGTTCCCAGAATTCTTTTCTGTGTTCTCATGTATTAACTCATATAATACTTACGATTTCCTATGAGATGCATATAATATTGTCATTGGCTTTGAAATAAGGAAACGTGGTGTGGGGAGACTATGGCCTGTTTAAAGTCACACAGCTAACAAGTGGCAAAGTGAATCCGTTATGCTACCTGTCTTCTCCTCTGTGTCTGAACTGTGCTTCAAATTATATTATTTTAGACCATCTACTCTTTTGTTTGTTTTTCTCCGGATCCTCTGCTGTGACTCTCTAAACTTGTGTTCCTCTGCAATGAGCTTGATTCTCTAAATTATTTTGCATCTAATACTTCTATTCACAAAGTCTTAAATAGTCTAAGATGAATTTTCCTTTTCTTGGGCAGTCAAATTGGATTTACAGCTCCTATTAGGTTTTTATTCAACCAGGTTGTCTGGGCTGCTGCGGTAGTCCCCTGGCTGGTCTCCCTGCTTCCAACCTTACCCCTTTGGTGTCTCTTCTCTACTCAGTAGTGAGAGTGAACCACTTCTCTGCCTGAAGCCCTCCAATGTCTTCCCACGCTACTCAGAATAAAAGCCAAAGTTCTACAATCATGTGTCCAGCCCTCCTGGTGGGGCCCTGAGCTTCCTCTCCATCTTCACCTCCTGCCACTTTCCTGTATGCATTGGGCTCCAGACACAAAGGTCTCCGATGTTCTTGAGACCCGCCTACACCCTTTGCACCTGCTGCCCCTCCCCTTGGGACAGTCTTTCCCGAATATCCACATGGCTTTCATCTGTTCCTTCAGGTCTTTGCTCAGAGATCACCCTCTCATCCCCACCCCAAGGGATTGGGCTCACCACCCTCCTTTCCTGCTTGTTGTAAAGTCATAGCATTTATCATCAGCTATTTGTTCCTTCACTCTACCGCACATCATATAAGATGATATCCACAGGAACTTTTCCTGTATTATTCATTAGTATATATCCAGTAACTAATTGTTGAATCAAGATTCTTATCGTTTTGGACACGAACCGTCATTAATCAAGGACTGCTCAACTGGAGTCACGTGGTTGTTTGGGGAACATTAAAATCTAGTTGTATAACCTTACATTTTTGTTAAATCCCTTATCGCAATAGAAGATACATTGTATGTTTGTATTTTCTTTTACTATTATATTGTTTTAGCAGAAAGGAAATGAGGCAGTTAGCATGTGACTTGTTCCTCACGAATCCCTAGATATGTATTTAGGACCAGAGATCTATATATTTTCCAAGAGGAAACCGTAGCCTAAAAGTCACCTTTTATAGTTTTGTCAGGTGCCAAGATCAAACTCTTCCCTCTACCACTTAGGAAATTCACACTCCAACCCTTTTGAAAAGTAGAACAGGTTTCCTACATGCCCAGTTTTCTTAACTTTCTGGTTCTCTGTTCTGTCTCAAAGGCAATCCATTCCTTTGGGCCCATTGCCTTTCTGGGTCCCATCCCCTGGGTCTTTAGTGGAGTCCTTCCATTCTCAGCGTGGGCTTGGGGAGAACACTGCTGGGTAGTCGGCAGAACAGCAGCAGCATCTCATTGGAGGGGAGCACAAATTCTCAGAACGCAGTCTCTGCCTGCAGGTGGCCGTGACAAGCTAGTTCTACAGAATTATTGTGGCAAGCCTTATATTTCTGACTTTTCAAAGTTTCTTGGCTTCCAGGGTGTTCTTGCCTCGGTGTGATCTCAGCCTCCTTGTCCGTCTATTTTTAGCTCTCAGATTCCATATCCTGCTTTCTCCATTTCAGTTCGATCACGTTAATCTTATTTTCTGCCTCAGTGAATTGAAGTTGGACGGCTTCCATTTTTTTTTTTTCTAAAGCTAACAGCTTCATTCAGGAAGTGACTTGAGTGGAGTTTTGTTTCAGCTTTTATTAAAGTAACATTCCAACTCTTTGTTCAAAGTCTCACGTGCTGCTCCCCTTTCTCGGAACTGGTTTTTCTCCTAATGCCTGTGTGAAGTGAGTGGATCTCAGCTTCCTCGAATGTGGGAAGTGCCGTGATGAAACTTCACTGATTTCTCCCCTACTTTCATTTAACATTTATCATAATTGCTTAAATTTGTCAACTAACTTATTTCTTAGAAGGATCACGTGTTTTGATTTACATTAAGGATAGGAAGAATCTACCTCTTTTTTTTTTAATGTTTCTTTATTAATTTTGAAAGAGAGAGAGTGGGGAAGGACAGAGAGAGAGAGAGAGAGAGAGAGAGAGAGAATCTCAAGCAGGCTCTGCTTGGGGGCAAGCCCGCATGGGGCTTGATCTCATAAATTCTTCAGATCGTGACCTGAGCCAAAATCAAGATTCAGACACTTAACTGACTGAGCCACCCAGGCGCCTTGAATCCACCTCTTTTTGATGTGGCAAAACGAAATCTGTCATCTTCACGGAAAGTGGAAAGGGGTCTGTACTCTAGAATCAAATGGCATTCCTGGCTGAATGAGGTGTGGTAATTTATTTAAGTTCTCTGAGCCTCAGTTTCATAATCTGTGCAACATCGATAAAAATTATTCACCTCTAGATTTGTTGTAATGCTTCAACGAACTATTATAATGCAAAGCACTTTGAGCAGTTACTTATAATTATTTTTCCCTGTCCTATAATAATACGTACAACTTTGGAATAAGGGAAAGTAGTGAAAACTTTTTTTAAAGGCTTGGTTACTGCCAGGTCACCTGGACCTGGAAGACTTGTTTTTCTGGGTGAAGAAATATTTTCCCTGCGTGAAGGTTTCATAATCACAGTCGAGCCAGCCCAGGAGCCCTGCCATTTACAGTGGCTCCTCTCTTTATCTCTGACATACCCGCTCTCTGGGAATGAGGACATTGATCCAGCTCTGGAGATTCTACAGGATAACCACTGGAGTCCCTCTGGATTCTCTGTTGCCATGATCCCATGGTTTTGGATGACCACGGACATGGACACTCTTTGAATTTCATACCATGCAGAGTCATTTTTATTTCCCTGGGTCCTTGACTGACTTTAGAACAGGTAAGTGAAAGGGGAGGAGGCATACAGTGAAGTCAGCCATACAATAGGTGGTTAACATGGTCATCTGAGAGATAGAAAGTGAGCCGGATCAGGAATGTTAACCTGCGGAGTGGAGGGTAGTCTTATACTTTTATTTTTATTTTTTAAAGGGTTATTTATCTTTGAGAGAGAGTGCGTGTGAGCGAGGAAGGGGCAGAGAGAGAGGGAGACAGCAGATCCAAAGCCGGCTCTGTGCTGACAGCAGCGAGCCCGATGTGGGGCTCGAACTCACAAGTTGGGAGATCATGACCTGAGCCAAAGTTGGGTGCTCAACCAACTGAGCCACCCAGATGCCCCTAGTCTCGTACTTTTAAAAATGGCCATGGAAATTAAAATTAAAATCAGGAAAAAAAAGAATTCCAAAAAGACAAGGGCAAAGTAGTTTATTTAGGAAGGGAAAATGTTACCTTGTAGAGACTTTCTGTGAACAGAGCTTGACATGAAAAGAAAGGAGAGATAACTGACTTTTAATGGAATTGTCTGGAAAACATATAAGTACCAACATTACCCCCCGTGATCCCTAATTCTAGCCTTCTTTGGTCCCTGTAAAATTATAACACCTTCAGTGTATCTTTAACAGCTTTTTAGGAACATATTAACCAAATGTGCAAGTTCTGATCTGGCCATAAAATACTAGGAGGGATATGATTCTCTAGGATTAATGAATAACATTTGTTTATTTGATTTACTTTAAAAAATCATTCTAAAATCTGTTTACATATCTGTCCTCTCCAGGATGAACTTTATATTGGTTCAGCAGACTGTTTACTGTTTCTTCTTCTTCTTCTTCTTCTTCTTTTCTTTTTTTTTTTTTTTCATCTTCCCTGCTCAGTGCCCAACCCAAGTTCAAAGGCTGATGAGCAAGAAAAACTCATGAAGAGGTTTTACTCTAGGGAAAGTTGTTCAGTGGATGGGATCTTGGTGCATAGGGAAAGATGTCAGGCTCTTTCTGGCTCCTTCTCAGCTTTGCTGCTTTAACTGCTGCTCAATCCACCACTGAAGAACTGGCCAAGACATTTTTGGAGAAGTTTAACCATGAAGCCGAAGAGCTGTCTTATCAAAGTTCACTTGCTTCCTGGAATTATAACACCAATATCACAGACGAGAATGTCCAAAAAATGGTGAGTTCTCATGGTTACATAGGGGTGTTTGCTGCTTCTTAAAGATTAGATTACTGCCCATGCAACTGAAAAGGGAAATCAAAGAAATGCTCTGAGTTGTGAAGTTGGATGTTTGCCTCGATCTTTTGGATTCTGGAGTCCCAGATGCCTAAACTTAAATGACCTTGGGGCTCATTTGAAAACGGTTACAAAATAATTCACTGGTCTCGGTCCAGATTCTTGGAAACCAGTGAACATGCTTTATGAAGTTGCTACCATAATTCTCATCATAATCAGGGTTTCAAAGCATTTCATGGAAATGCCATAAGTTATTGAGTTAATAATTTTCCCAAGCCTACAGTGTCAACAGGAATATCTAAAGACTCTCTAAAATGATAGATTAACTGCAAAATGCAAGTGGAGGCTTAGTGAAAGAGCTAGCTAGTAATTAAACTAACCATGGGTCCAGAGGCTGGAATTGGGAATTCCTTCCTTCATTGTCGTGGAGCTCTGAGGGACTTCCAAAGGTCACAGAATCCATCCAGAGCCCTCCCAGAAAAACCATAACTAAACCAATTCTGACAAATCTCAGAATGCTCTGGGAAAGCAAGATGCTTTGACAAGTGCAAGGACTCAGGAATTTCTTCTCTCACAGGTCCCGAAGCAGTATCCTTACACGTCTTTCCTAGAAGTCGAGCGACATTATTTGAGAAAAGATTTTGTGACACTTAAAAAAAAAAAAGATTTTCTGACACTTGTATAGCGATACATTCCTTCAAAAATGTAGTTCAGAAGCTTTTTTTTTTTTTTTCAAATGGTTAGTAGGTCGCGTGTTTAAATTACTGCCATTCATGGGACAGATGAAACCCGAGACCTACTGCCTCATTTGAAATTCCCAAAGAGAAGCTTTTCCATTTTTCTAAAGCTCAAAGAAATCCTGGAGATTTTGACAGCCTGATGTGGTCATAGGAGATCATCTGTTTCTTGGCTCATATTTTGGTCTTACCTCTCTTCATCTCTTTATTGTTGCTCTGGCCTCACTTTTTATTTGATCTCTGTTGGAGGTGACTATAGTGTACTGTTCGTTTGTTTTCATGCTCCGCTGAATGGGCCCGTAGGTGCTGGTGAAGGTGTTACTTACCAGCATCGTGCCTAAGAGCTCCGGATCCGGACTGGCGAGGTTCAGATCCTGGCTCCACCACTTTCCAGCTGGGTGAGCTTAAGCTGCTGAATTAACCTCTCTGCGCCTTCATTATCTGACCTGTGAAAAAGAACGTCCCACTCATATCTGCCTTGTAGGGTCGTTGTGAGCCTTAGTTCATACCCCAAACCACCAGAATAGGGCTCGATGCCCGTGAGCTTGGGAGAACGACACGATATCGTTGCTACGAGTGCGGGAGTTGTACTTGCCGAAGAGACATGTAACAGTCCTGCTGAGTGTCCTTTGCTGAGAAGCCATGTTCCAGAATGAGATGTAGCGATGTTTGTCGAAATCATGTCTGGATCACTGAGTGTTATTACTTTTGAATTGCAGCTGTTGATTAGAGCAAAGGCCAGAGAGGAGAGGGCATAAATCACCAAGTGTGGCCAAACCGCAGAAAGCATGGACCTTTTAAAGGAAAGTGAAAATATTAAAATGCAGAGAGGAAGCAGGTGGCCACCAGCTACATGCAGGGAGGGCAGTCTGGTGGTGAGGAATGGCTTCTGCTTCTGCGCATGTGCCGGGCAACTGGCTAAAAGAGCAGTGAATAAATTTTGGCTAACTCCTTCGGTTTAGAGCAGTTTTGTGGGTGTTTCGGACTTAGTGATAGGACCTAGGGAATAAGGTACGGGTTTTGTCCTTTCCTTTTACTCTAGAGAGCTTTTAACAACAGCTTTATTGAAATACAATTTATGCACCATAAAATCCACCAATTGAAAGTATACGATTCGATGCTTTTTAGTATATTTACAGAACTATACAACTTTCGCCAGCATCTAACTGCAGAACATTTTCGTCTCTCCAGCAAGAAATCACATGTCTGTTAGTCATCGCCCTTCCTCCCAGCCCCCAGCCCCAGGCAACCACTAATCTACTTTCTGTCTCTAAAGATTTGCCTCCTTTGAACATTTCATATCAATGGACTCGTAGGAAATGTGGTCTCTCGTGTCTGGCTGCTTTCACTTCGCATGTTGTGGCACGTAGCATTCCTTCCTTCCTTTCTGTTGCCAAATAGTATTCCATGGTATGGTTTTTCTTTACTTTTCATCATAAAAATGTTCAAACATGTATAAAAGAAGAGAGACTGGTCTATTGAATCTCCTCGTACCCATCACCTGATTTTACAAATTATTAACACTTTGGCCAACTTGTTTTATTTTTCTACCCAACCCCTCATTTATTGGATTATTTTGAAAGAAATCCAAAACATGATCTGGTTGGATGCATAAATATTTCACCTTGTAGCTCTCAAAGTAAGAATTTTTAAAAGAACCTCAATAACACTACCAACCACTTGATGAGAACTCCTCAGTTTTGTCAAATATCTATCAGTATTCAAATGCACCCTACCGTCTCATTTTTTAAAAAATTTCAGCTCTTTTGTGTGAATCAAGATCTAACCGGGTCCTCTCCTTCCAATCATTTTGAAGGATGTTCTTTAGTTCTCTTTTAGTCTACAGAATTCCTCCCTCACTTTTTTAACAATTTATTTGCTGAAGAATTAAATTTCTGGTTCTATAGAAATTCCCACTATTCTGGATTTGCCGATCATGCCCCGTAAATGTTGCTTAACATGCTCTTTTGTCCCCTATATTTCCTGTAAATGTCTAGATCTAGGGCAGAGGTCAGAACACTTTTTCTGAAAAAGGCCAGATAGTAAATATTTCAGGCTTTGTGGGCCCCATGGCCTCTGTTCAACTGTGCCATTGTAGTGCAAAAGCAGCCATAGATGACACATAAATGAGCATGACTATGTTCCAATAAAACTTTATTTACAAAAACAGATGGTGGGCAGAGTCCTGATCTAGAGACTTGATCAGACTCAGGTTTCACCTGTGGGTTATTTAATAGGTGTGGAAATGGGATTTCCACTACTAGCATGGTACAGGAATATTGAGCCAAGAAATTAACAAAAAGCTAGTTTAGGTCCCTAGAGCTCTGGAAAAAAGACTAGCTTGGGAAGGAACAGTATGTCCTTAGTGGGCAAAATTCAAGGCAACATCATGCATTTTTTTGTCTTGCGATTTAAAGTATGACACTTACAGTATGGTAGTGATAAATAGAACAGATATCTTCAAAGTTCCTATATCAGTATAATTTAAAAAATGTTCTGAGACTGAGCCCTTTTGGGGATCGTGAGTTGTTTCCAGAAGAAATTGAGAATAATACTATTCCTATAATTTGGTATCAAAGTTTTACCAGAAATTTTGCTTGACAGTAAATCATCCTGGATTGGGTGAAGAAGGGTAGAGGTTTCGAGGTAACTGGTGGGTTGCATAGATGAGTCTGTAGCAGAGACCAAACTCTTCTTTCCATAGTCCACTCCTTCCCACTCATGCGTGTTACAGACAAGACTAGAATGTGTTGAATACAATCAATGGTCACTGGTTAAGAAAGAGCGTTAGCTTTGGAGGTAAACATCTGGGTTAACACTCTGGTTCTTTTAATTACTAGCTGCGTGTCCTAGGGAAAGCTACTTCCCAGCTCTGTGCCTCAGTTTCCTCATTTGTGAAGTAGAGATAATCACAACTACCTCAAAGGATTGTATGTGAAGATTAATTGGGAAGTGGTTCCTGAGGGGTTGTGTGTACTCAATAAAGAGAGAAATCATTTCCCGTTTTTACTGCCACTATTCTACTCATCTCTTTCTTGTCTGAGCCGTTGTTGTCATGTCCACACACCATTTCCATCACGTCACAAGCCTGCTTGGAGCCCCTGAGTGATTCCCTAGTATTCAAAGAATAAAAGTAAAATTCCTTGCCTGGAAAACGCAATCATGCTTGAAGTCCCGCGTTGGGATTGTTACTAATTATCTATTGTGTTAAAAATTACCATAAGCTTAGCAATTTAAAACACTACGCATTTATTATCCCACAGCTTCTGTGGGTCAGGAATCCAGGCATTTTCTAGCTGCATCTTCCATTTCTGAGCCTTATGAAGTTGTAATCGAGGTCCTGGCTAGCACTATGGTCTCATCTGAGGCCTGACTGGGGATGAATTCACTTCGAAGCTAATGTGGTTAGTGGTAAGCATTCAGATCCTTGTGTGCTGCTGGACTGAGGACCTTAGTTTCTTGCATGATATCACCCAGAGGCCATCCTCCATTCCTCGACGTGTGGCCCTTTCCACAGGGTGGCTCACAACATGGCATCTCGCTGCATCAGAGTCAGCAAGGGAGACAGAGTTTTAGCAAGATAAAAATTATAATCTTATATAACATAAATATGTACATCCTGTCACCTTTGGTATATGCTGCTGGTTAGATGTGAATCATGGGTTCTGCTCACACTCAAGGTGGAGGCGATCACTCAAGTGTGTACCACCCAGACAGAGGGATCATGGGAGCCATCTTAGCGTTTCTCTACCACAGGATCCAGGACCCAGATGCTGTCAGTTGATTGCTATATCCACTATTTATATCTCTCAGCCCCTTTATGCACATATGAATAACGGAGACACAATGATTTTCTATCTCATGAGATTAAGAAGATCAAATGAGGTGAATTATTCTGCAAAGTACTCTACATCCATCCAACTCCTACCTACTTTAAGGTCTTCTCCATGAGAGCTTGGCCAAATCTAGTTGCCTGCATGAGTCTTTCTTTTCCTATAGCAGAAACTGCTTGGCCCACTCAAAGCTTATACTTTATCATATGCTCTTATATTTCATTAATGAAACATTCACGCTGCATACCTTATCTGTCTGATAACACTGTAAGCAACTTAAGGGCAAAGAATTTTTTTCTATAAATTACAAAATAGCTAACTTTTTTGAATGTTTAGGATGTACCAGATACTGTGATAAACTTTTTGTTATTTGTCAATTCTTCTCATCGTTACAACAACCCTTTGAGGTAAGTCCTATTATTACTCACGTTTTACAGATAAGGTGACTGGCTCAGAGAAGGTAAGTAATTTGCCTAAAGTTGCACAGCTAGTCACAGGTATCTGACTCCAAGAATGGAGTTCTTACTTGTCTCATAGGCTACCTCTTTTATACAGTCTAGAGAAGTACAATGTACAAAGTAATTGCTTATTTCAGTCTGTGGTAGATGGAAATGAATTTGTACATTGAGAAAAGACTGTGCTAGAAGAGTCTGGAGAAGTCCACTTGCCTATAGTGATGTTCAAGATGGGGGCCAAGTGAGTCCTGGCATCATCACCTGCTCGTTGGTTTCTTTGACTGTTAGAAAATCGCCATGGCTACCAAAGGGCCATATTCTGGGCTACCTTCTTGGGGGAACATAATTTAAGATCAGAATCTCTGGTAAGTCATGGCACTGTGGGGCTTACTGCAAACTGATTCTCATTTCTTGCGGTTCACAGTGTCATGAGGGGCTGTATTCCCATTAAGTTTGTTCTGAGCTTTACTGGGCTCTCCCTTTAGAGCATTCATCCTTGAATCCTTGATCAGCTCACCCATGTCACAGTGCTAAGGCCATAAATTCCAGGGACCCACGATGTGAATTATCTGTGAGAATGCACTTCCAGTTCTGGGGACAGGACCCTGGGGAAAACTAGGCACTGGGCCAGAAAGAGAGACTGACCAAGAATGGCCTGGTAACTCATAACCTAAGCTTTGACCTTCAGCAAAGTAGAGAACTAAAACTACTCAGGAAATATTAGATGTTCCACCAGATGTTTTTTTGGACGATATCTCCTGTTTTATCTGTTCAAGCGGTGCCATTCTGACTTCAACTTTATTTTTTTGTCATTTCAGAATGAGGCCGGGGCCAAATGGTCTGCCTTTTATGAAGAACAGTCCAAGCTTGCCAAAACTTACCCGCTAGCAGAAATTCACAATACCACCGTCAAACGTCAATTGCAGGCCCTTCAGCAGAGTGGGTCATCAGTGCTCTCAGCAGACAAGAGCCAACGAGTATGTGAACATTCTAGCGCTGACCCAAGAGTTGAAATATTGGGGAAACATTAAACGTTAATATCCCCATGGCTGCTTCCTTTATCTGCAGAGATAGTAATGCTGACATTAGAAAGAGCTCTGTGCCTAGGTAGGGTGACCACATAATTTGTCATCCAAACTGGAATCCTTTTGCAAGTGAAAGAAGACACTGGTAATAATTATGTTAAGACACAAAGTCAAACTGGTGTGGTCTGGGCCCTGTGTTGTATATGGGCACCCTATACCGAAGTCACCTTCCTGAGGACCAGGTGGCCTGAAGAATATACTTAGTCTATGTCATTCATTCTCAACTAGGGGTGCCCGCCAGTGACATTTGATGATGTCTGGAAACAGTTTTGGTTTTCATAAGTGGGGAAGGGGCAGGGATGCTGCTAAACATTCCACAATGCACGAGACAGGCCCCAATGACAAAGAATTATTTGGTCCACAACATTAATAGTGCCAAGCTTGAGAAGTCCTGTATGTGGTCCAATTCTTTCCCCCTTTTCATTCTTGACTCTTCTCTACGTCTTTAATGAGTGGCTAAGAACCTCAGCTCAAACTGCTTTAGGGGTGGGTGAGCCATCTCTTTCCAAGACATCCATTCCATCTGTGGCCCCCTCTAATTGATAGAGATACTCCCTCCATTGAGCATTAAGTGCTTTACCACCATTTTGTTCTGCCTTCTGGATCCAAATTGCTCTTTCCTACAAAGGTTTTTAAATAAATGAAGGCAGCTATTTTTTTAAACTAGTTGACCCCTATTTTTAAAGTTTATTTATTTATTTTGAGAGAGCGAGAGAGAGCACGAGCATAGGAGGGGCAAAAAGAGAGAGGAGAGAGAGAATCCCAAGCAGGCTTTACGTTGTCAGGGGGGAGCCTGACACGGGGCCAGAACTTACTAACTGCGAGATGATGACCTGAGCTGAAACCAAGAGTTGGACACTTAGCTGACGGAGCTACCCAGGCACCCCAAGTCCTTTTTGTTTTTTGAACCTAGGATATCATCTTTCACTCCGTCAGTTTTCCTCTCTACGATAGTTTCAAGTTTCCTAACCAGTCCTAATTGCTGTCTTCATTTTGTCGGTAACCGTGAACTAGACATGGCACTCTGCATTGGTTCTGATGCATGAAGGTGATCAGGAATAGGACACTCTACACCCTTTGCCCTACATCTATGAAGATAGTCTAGGACTGTATTAGGTTTTTGTTTGTTTGGTTTGTTTGTTTTTTGACAACCAAATCCCATGTTGGCTCATATCAACATCACTGTCCAGGAAGTTTCCAAGTCTCTTCCACCAATGTTGCTCTAAAATGATAGCTTTCAAAATTCTATTCTTAAGTAGGTAGTTTGCTCAAATTCAAGAAAGCCTGTATTCACCCTATTAAAATAACATCTCTCATCCCATCTCTCTAGCCTAGGAGTCAGCACACTTTATTCTGTAAAAGGAAAGATAGTAAATATTTTAGGTTTTGTGGGCCATCTAGTCTCTGTCACAATGAGTCAACTCTGCTGTTGTGTCAGAAAATCAGCGATAGCTAATACATAAGCAAATGAGTGTGGCTGTGTTCTGCTAAAACTTTACAAAAACAGGCAGCAGACAGCATTTGGTCTGCAGATCATAGTTTACAGACCCCTGATCTAACCTACTGAAATATTTTTATCTAAAATATTTGGCTATTTAACATCAAAGTCTTCTTTCTCAGTTGCTTGTCCTCTGGAATTCTGTGTTGTAATCTACATCTATAAAAAGAAAAAATTCACGATAAGGACAAAGATAAAACCATGTGGCACATATCTTCCTACAAGTTGATATTTATTATTCCACATTCTTTGGATCCAATTATCCAACTAGCTATTAATCCACTTTATCTTATCCATTCCGTGCTTCCCATCTTTTTCTCAAAGACACCATGTGAAACTTGGCCCATTGGTCTTTGAGAGTCTAGGCAGCCTGATCTATCCTGGGTGGAACGTGGACACTGTATTTTTATAAGATTCCGAGTAGTTCTAATGTGCAGCCCAAACTGAAAAACACAGAAATGCATGTAAAAGATTGAACTGTTTGGGAAGAGAGGAGACTCAAGAATGCATGAATACAATGGAGAGGGAGGAGGGAGATTGAAAAAGCAGGTACACAAAGAGACCATGAGGAGTTTTGTGCCATGGTAGGGAATTTGGATTGATGCCTTTGGACTATGGGATCTTATTGAAGTTTTAATCATGGGATCTATTTCATGTTTTAGGATAATGACTTTTGTGTCAGAGTGAAAGAATAATGGAAGGGGGAAATAGGAGAAGAGAAACAGAGCCTTTCATGTGGTGCTTCTTAAATCAAATGTAGGGGAGAACCAGTTCCTTCTTTCCTCTCCTATCTTTCCTTTCCTTTCCTTTCCTTTCCTTCCTTCCCACTTTTCTTCCTCCCTCTCTCCCTCCTTTCCTCCCTCTCTTCTTCCCTTTCTTCTTTTATTACCAATCTATTACAGATCAATACTTGGCTAAATCCATTGACATGCTGAGATGTCATGGAAATATCAAATGGGTTTTTAAGTTTATAAACATTCATTCTCTTTTTTTAAAAAAAAAATTATTCTCTTGATTCCTGTACTTGTCACAGAATAGAAACAAAGAATTTGCTGTTTTGTACTGGTCCATGGACCATACTTTGAGTAGCACTGCTTAACTCTATTACCTTTACTCTCCTTTACCTACAAGATAAAGTTAAAACTCTTTGGTGTGGCATAGATGGCCGACCCCTCGTGACAAAGCCCCTGCTTACCTCTCCAGTGTCACTACTCCAGTTTCCTTCAACGTGTCATCACTTCTGGAAAATTGCTGCTCTTCCCCAACCTCCATCCATCTTTTAGGCTCTGCCTTCTATTCCCTTTTTCTACTTGACCAATTCCTACTTCTCTTCCAAGTCATGGCACTGATGTCCCTTCCTCTTTGAAGCCATTCCTGAATCTCCAAGTTCTTCATTTATCCACCTCCTGCCAGACTGCCACATCACTTTTTCATGACAGTTCTACCACTTGTCCCTCGATTATGTAATTATTGATTTCATGGCTGCCTCCTTGGTCATGGCCGTGGGGGTCCTTGAGGATCCACGGCTTGTTCATGTCAGAGTTATCAGAGTGTCGGACAAAGTAGATGTTCAGTGAATGTGTTCTCGGTGAATGCTGAATGAACAGCAAATGCACTTCTCTGTGTACCTGGGAAACATCCTTGGGATTTTGGTGGATCCATTTATTTCAGTCATTCCACATATATTTATTATGTGTTTCTAAGGCTCTGTGCCAGTTGATAGTGGGGGAAATTTAACGGAGATATTCCTACCCTACATAAAGGAGGGTGCTTGGCAAAGATGGGAATTGCTGTATTTTGAGGCACAAAAAATCACATGGTTAAAAGGACATCCTTAACTTAGCGTTCTATATAGCACATCTCCCACATTGAACATTGTTTATTATGCTTAATTTGCAGTTGAACACAATCTTAAATGCAATGAGCACGATCTACAGTACTGGAAAAGCTTGTAACCCAAATAATCCACAGGAGTGCTTATTACTTGAACCAGGTAGGCTATTCAGTTTGAGCAGTCATTATGAAATTTAAGTTTTTACTCTAAGTTTTAAAACTGAGATTGACACTGGATGATGAAACTGTGCCTTTCAAGTGGATAATCCAAAGATGATAAGATTCCAAATAGGTGTTTCAGTACATAGGTGAACTGTTAACTTATCACAAAACTTCATTGTAAACTCTGTCACATTCTAAGTAATTTAACTAAGTAGTTAAATGATTTCAACGGTTTATTTCTTCTGCAGAAATACTTTGGAACTATAACAAGGATGAAGAAATCGAGAAATCATGAGATTTCCCTTAATAACTTTATGGCCTCGATGCCTGCCAGCCTTACTTTTAATTCTTTAAAGTTCATACAATTGTTTACAAATAAAAATTTTACAAATGCGTGTTTTTTTCCCTATTGGGTGCTTTGCAATGACAGGCTTGGATGACATAATGGAAAACAGCAAAGACTACAATGAGAGGCTCTGGGCTTGGGAAGGCTGGAGGGCTGAGGTCGGCAAGCAGCTGAGGCCATTATATGAAGAGTATGTGGCCCTGAAAAATGAGATGGCAAGAGCAAACAGTAAGTTCACTGGTCTGTAGAGATCCTGATGCTCTCTGTGGGGGCTGTGGGCTATTTCTCATGAATTACCAAGCCTGCCCTTTGACAGAAGTGGTATCCATAAATTAGTGACCATCTCCTGAACAAATTCAGGTGATGTGTCTCAAAGAAGAAACTACTAGGGGATAAGGAAAGATGCACTGACATTCTATAGTTTAAGGAGCTCAGCAATGAGGCTGAACGACAGGACGTCAAACAAATCAGTCATCTACCAAGCCTTCCTGAGGTAGCCTGGGGATTGAGTAGGGATTCTATTGCTCTGACAGGATGGGAGACAGAGACACTGTCTCTCACCTAAACTCCTATCTGGTTACACTTGATTTTTAAAGGTCATTTGTGTGTTTAACTCAGGGTGGTGTCCCAGAAAGAAAAAAAAATCAGATTAATTTAGGCTGGAAACCCATTATGTTCTGCAGTTGTAATTATAACTCAAATCATGTGGTCATAAAAATCTTAACATGGGGCTTAAATTTCCATATTTCCTAACTTATTCTCCTGCCTGAATAATGAGCTGAAGCTATGGCATTATGACTAACTTTATGCTTTGGTGATTCACTGCCTCCTGGGGTTGAGTAAGGAAGAATTTTTTTCATCTGTTGTTTCTCAGTGCCTTTCACTGCCACTTAAACTTGTATTCTTAAGCCACAGGCAAGCTGGGACAGCAGCTCATCACCATATCTTTCCATCCAAATATTTCTCTCTCTCCTCTTCCTGCTCGTCCATTGCCAATGTGCATGTGAAAATAAGAATTTTTGAAATACATTTGCAAACTGTATTGGCTAATATCCTAATGCAAGCCTGTGTTTCCAGATGACGAGATACTACACGATGCACGCAGCGATGTTCTGTGTATACAGATAATCTGCAAACAAACACAGGCCCGCTGTGGCGATGTCTAAGATGAGTTGGTTTACATTTGAAAATAGAAGGCCCTGAACAAGAAGAGAATTTAAAAACTCAAATCCAGTCACATGTTTTAAAACCAAAGATAGAAACTGAAGTATGGAGACAGTAGAGACCAAGGGTTAGAAGACTCGGAGGGTGCTTTTGCCTCTTCCCAGTCGTGTGACGCTGGACAAACGATTCCACCGTCCAGGAACAGGGTGCTAATCTGCATGGTGGGGATTTTAATAATGTCAATCTTTCAACGTTAATTTATTTTTGGGACAGAGAGAGACAGAGCATGAACGGAGGAGGGGCAGAGAGAGAGGGAGACACAGAATCGGAAACAGGCTCCAGGCTCTGAGCCATCAGCCTGACGCGGGGCTCGAACTCACGGACCGCGAGATCGTGACCTGGCTGAAGTCGGACACTTAACCGACTGCGCCACCCAGGCGCCCCAATAATGTCAATCTTGCAGAGTTTCTGTGCTTCTTAGAGGAGATGATGCATTGAAGAGAGAGCAAAGAGAGAGCAGAGAGCAAGCGCTTGACAGACACCAGCTAGTGTTAGTATTCATTTCATCCCTTTGAGTTGACATTTAGAAGGACAATAAAAATGTGACAGATCTTTGGATTTTTTAACCTCCCACCAAGGCTGATCTATGTATACCGTGCTTTATCTCCTTCTTTCCCTTATGTTCTCTTCCTTCTCCTTTTAAAAAACAGATTATGAGGACTATGGAGATTATTGGAGAGGAGATTATGAAGAGGAGTGGACAGATGGCTATAACTATAGCCGCAGCCAGTTGATTAAAGATGTGGAACATACCTTCACACAGGTAACCAAGGAAGCATACACAGAGACAGATGTAGGGCAGTGTGCGGGAAGAAGGGACAATGACCAAAGGCATTCTGGCTTGTTCCTAGTGCAGTAGTTAGCCATTCCCAGGCCTCAGAGTTATGGAATATTAGAGCTTGAAAAGATTTGAAAGAATAATAGGACAGGCCCCATAGATGAGCAGAGTTACTCTGCTTTCCTCTCCTTTTCGGCCACTGAGTGGCCCAGCAATTACCAATAGCAAGGTTATAAGAAGGAGAGATTATCGGATGGAATGGTCTTTGTGAACTACCTGGGACCCACCCTGTCTTACTTTGTTAGCAGCTGTAGGCTTTGCTTCCTTCCTCAGGACAATTGATAGTATTGTTTCCTTACCTTTGACTGAGGGAGCCTTTTCATGGAAGGCAGAGTATCTCATGGACACTTCTCAATGTCTCCCTCTTCCTTCCTTTTGCCCCCCACCCCTCCCCCTCACCCCTGTGCCTTCAAACTTCTTATGCAAACCTACTGTGTCAGAGCCATCGTTAGGCAAAGCAATCAAAAGTGGAAGTTGGGGCAACAACTCCTCAGAAAAGAAATGGGCAAAAGATTTGAGCAAGTACATCCTCAAGGAGATTATATAAATGACAGATAAGCAAGTGAAAAGTTATTAGGGAAATGCAAATTAAAACCATGTTTAAAAACCACCACACACCCACCAGAATGGCTACGGTTAAAAAAGACAGGCATAGCAGGCGCTGGTGTGGGCGTGGAGACAGTGCTGATAGAAATGCAGAATGGTGCAGCGGCTGCAGAAAGTGGTTTGGCAGTTCTTAAGAAGTTGAACACACACTTATCATCCGACTAAGGTGTTCCACTCTTAGGTATCTATATGAGAGAAATGAAAATATAGATCCATACGAAGACTCATACATGAACGTTCATAGAAGCATCATTCACAGTAGCCCCAAACTGGAGACAACCTAGTTGTCCTTCAGCTGCCAAATTGTATCCAAGAGCTACTAAATGAAGCAAACTCTGACGTAATCATACAGTGACATGCTACTCAGTAATAAAAAGAATGAACTACTGATACATGCTGTAACATGGATGAACCTAAAAATCATGCTGAGTGAAAGAAGCCAGATGCAAAAGGTTACATATCACATGACTTCATCTATATGAAATTTCCAGAACAGACAAAACTATAGACACAGAAATCAGTTCAGTGATTACCTGGGGCTGGGGACGGGAGTGGAATTGACTGCACACAGGCACAAGAAAACGTGTTGGGGTAATGGAAATATTCTAAAACTGGGTAACAGTGATGTTGTCCAACAGCATAAATGTACTAAAACTCATGAAACTGTACATTTAAAAGTAGGTGAACTTTGTGGGATGTAAACGATACTTCAACTTAAAAACAAAGGAAGTAGGTAACATATTAAAAATGAATATATCTTTGCATCTGCTTTCATTTTGGGACCTGTATTCCTCCAGATGTGTTTGTTGCTTTATGCAGTGAAGTTAGTCATCATCCATATCTGGGAAGATATGTCTGAAGAGATTCCTATTTTTAGTGGTAGGGATTGGAAATTGGAAAAGGCTACTCTTGGTCTTAAACTTTCTTCCTGGGCTTTTCAGATTAAGCCACTGTACCAACATCTTCATGCTTACGTGAGGGCAAAGTTGATGGATACCTACCCTTCCCGTATCAGCCCAACTGGATGCCTCCCTGCCCATTTGCTTGGTAAGAAACTCCAGGAACTCTTTGTGTACTTTGTTCTTTGTTATTTCCACCACTAAAGTTGTTTTTTGGAATGAGGCCCAACATAAAACTTTTGGGAAATGTTGCAAATGAAGTTAGTAACATTGTAGAAATCACATTTTGACAGCACTTTATTCAACATAATTATATAACATAAATTGTTCTTTATTGCATCACTTTATTTTACACATGAACGAATATTATGTTGGCCACAATTCAAAGGATAAAGGGATTATTTAACATAACTAGAGAGAGAATTCCAAGTTCAAATGAGAGTGGAAATGGGGAAAATAAGTTTTTCAATTTAAGTTGATTGGCTAAGCTCTTGAGGTGGAATTTGAGATTTTAGTATTATGTTGTCAGAGGAAAGAAGCTTGGTAGGCTGTGGTTGGCCAGGGGTGAAAGAAAGGCTTTTGGAAATTAAGGTATAGCTTGAGTGAAAGCTTCGTAAGTTTATTCTAAACTGCACCAATTACTTTTGCTGCAAAGTACGTGGTTTGGAATCATATGGGTTATGAATGAAGTCTTTGCCATGAAGAAAGATGCCTAACTTAGGAAGAGACTCAATCTTCCAAGAACTTTCTATCCTGCCACAGAGGTTTCATAGACCATGAAAGACCTGGGGCCTTTTATTGAACCTCCTAATTCCCTTCCATAGAGTAGCCATCCTTCCTTCCCTTCTACCACTCCCTAGAAGCCAAGGCCAAATAAAATATTTGTGCTTGAAAAGTTCATGTCATGGATACATAGCATTCCTACCAAGCTAAGTTTCTGCTAGCTAATTCTTCTCAACAGCCTTTAAAGCTCTCTCTTAGCAGGAGAGAATATGGACAAAGGACCCGTGGAGACTTTTTATTCTAAGGCAATATATAAATGCTCTCTACAATGTCTTTGGCAGGCATCCTTCAGTAATTCAGTTTCTGCCTAAACCTATCTAGTGTGATGTGACTCTTCTTTCCAAGGTAGACTAATCTAATGCTATGTGGCACCAATTATAAGCAAGTTCTGCCTTATGTGGGACTGAATCAACACCCCTCTAATGTCTTCCATTCATTACATCTAATTCCATGGTATGAGGTTATCCAGAATGTGTCCATTCTTCTTCTACAAGATGGCCTTCTGGATATTTTAAACAACCATCATAAAAGGCACAGCATAGTACCTGGCACAAGAGTATGTAATCAATATATTTTAGTGATATTATTGTTACCATCATCTGCTTCTTTCCAGTTAAATATCCTATAGAGATTTTTAGCCATTCTTTAAAACTCAATTTTCTAATTGTTCTCCCTGGGACAAGCTGTCCTTTGTTGATATCTTTCTTTAAATATCATGCTCAGAACTGAACAATTACTCCAGATGAGGTTTGGCCAGTATTGAGTAAATATGGTATCATGACTTCCTTTGTTCTAGACACTATAATTCTGTTTATTTATCTTGAGATCACATTTGTGTTTTGGAAGCCATGTTATACTGTTTGTTGGGTCTCTTTTGGTCTTTTACATGTTGATTATGTCTCAGCCTGAAGTCACATATTACATATTTTTATAGTGGATACATTTTCCTTTAAGATTTAAGCATTGAGCCTTACATTTATTTCTACTGAATTTTATTGCTTAAAACATGAGTTCATTGAAATATTCTTCATGTTGTTATATTGCCCCATTACTTTGTTGCCAGCATTCTGGTCTTGCTGTTAGATTGACTTTTTCTTTTTTTTTTTTTAATGTTTATTTACTTTTGAGGGAGAGAGAGAGAGAGAGAGAGGCAAAGAGAGAGAGGGACAGAGGATCTGAAGCAGGCTTTGCACTACTACCCATGAACTGCAAGATTATGACCTGAGCCAAAGTCAGATGCTCAACTGACTGAGCCACCCAGGTGCCCTTAGATTGATTTTTTTCTAGATCCATCTTGCCTTTTAGGGTCTCTGGCCTTGGGATCCAATTTAACATTTGTTTGTGGTGTTTGAAAAATTACCCAATTAAATGTATTACTGTAGTATAGTGATAAAGGTAGAACTTTGTTACTAGTTAGTAGAGTTTCCTGAATGATGATCCTACATGATCTCTCTTGAGTCCGATATTAGGAATTACTAGTGGTTTAGTTTGCAATATTTTGTCCCATAGATGGTGGATATTATCTTTTTCTAATCTATAGTAGCTTTGATGTTCCATACATTTAATACATTGTGCCCTTGAATTGTAATTCGAAATGGGAGAAATAGGGATAATTTCCTGTCATTTTATCCTTTTAGAGGAGATAGAAAAAAGAAGGGAGTGTTGAAAATTTTAAATAGGAATACGGAAAAAGAGGTAAATGAAGAGAAACTAGATGAAATCTAGAATACTATATGGCCTGTTTGCCAATCCTAAGTTATGCACTGTGTAAAATCAGGTCTATACTTCTGCTGTCTTTGCTATGTATTAACGAAACTTTTTTTAAAAAAATAGGCGATATGTGGGGTCGATTTTGGACAAATCTGTACCCTTTGACAGTCCCCTTTGGACAGAAACCAAACATAGATGTTACTGATGCAATGGTGAACCAGGTAGGAAGAAGAGGCCTTAAAAACCAAATCTAAATCCTCAACTTCATTTCTTTTTCTGCCATTTTTCTCTTCTTGTCTTTTGCATGTGAAATCATGTAAATAAAAAAATTTTAAGCTAACTTAAATATATTTCTTATGTAGCTTCATGGAAAAGTAATTTACAGTGCCAGTGACGTCAAATACCTTGAATGATAAATATGGTATTGATCTTGCTGAGAGGTGTTAAAAATGGAGACGACCTGGGTTTTCCATTAAGCAGTAAGATGTGGAATTATCAACTGGTTGGCATTACTCTTTCTAGAGTTAGTCACTGCTAAGTAATCAGTCCGTAATCTCCACGAATAGAAAAAATGGTATCATGAGAAGATTTTTGCGTATTTAAAAAATCATTATTGTTAGAAATATTACAAGAGTCTTTAAAATAATTTTTAAATTACTTTTTTGTTACCATCTTGGCAGAATTGTTTAAGTTCTCTGTGTTTCCTGCCATTGGTGAAGTCATATTATAATGATATTTTTCTGTATTCAGCCAATAGTCTACCTTTTGGGGAAAGAATTTATGATCATACTCCCATTGGCTGTCTAAAATTTCTTCAGAGAGTTGCACCATAATTTCCTTTACTATTTACACATTGCCAGATTTTCCTTTGTAAACAGTTTCAAATCTGTAAGCAACCGTGCGGCAAACATTTTCACATACACAACACGATCCTGGGAAAAAGCCACGACAAAGTAAGAATGCGAAGCGGCAAGGCCTCCAATCTCCTGCAGCTGTGCTAGGTCCGTTTTGCAGTTGAACAACAGCACAGGCTCATCTTTATGTAGCTCTTTAGCCCATCTACGGGGTTTGTACACCCACCATCTCTCCTAAGGTCATCTTTACAACAAACCTATGAGACTATCAGGACAGGTATTTTGATAGATCCATGTTGCAGGTGAGGAAACTGAGGCCTGGGGAAATGACTGGCTCAAAGTCACAAAGACAATCAGTGGCAACTAAGGCTTGAACTCAGAACTCCTAATATTTCCAGTTCCATTTTCCACTCTCTCATTGTTCATTTAACAGACGCTAACTGTGCTTACTAGTCTATACTGTTTTGGTATACGTACATCCATTCTGCTTAAGAATGCCGTACCTGGTAATACCAATATTGCCTTTAAAGGTCAATAGTGAAAAACATCCGTAGTGTCACATCCTGTTTCAAATCCCCAAGGCTGATAGAAGAGAAAAACCAGACTTGACTGGTCTTTGAGATCAGAGGAAGTTTTCTGTGTCACCAAAAGCGATTCAGGAATTATCCGCCAGTTACACAAACTTTGTTTGCCTGATATGGGCCTTATCTCCAAAGAAGTCCTGGTCAGTTCCCAGAAGAGTTTACTGGATGGCAGACGCTTACTGTTGCCCCTCTCCATTTCCAGAACATTCTGAAAGTTCAGATTCCCATACAAGCTGTGCAGCAAGGCCCGGCTACTTATTGGCTACTTGGTCACATGCAGGCCTTTTTGGTTCCAAAAGTCCATGACTCCGTGTGTACCTGTTTGTGTCCTCCACTGAGCCCAACACCAGGCCCTCACTCCTTAAAGGAGCTCAGTCAATGATTGTTGGCTTTAGTTGAATAGATTTCTTAGCAAAGAGAAGGTCATTGTTGTTTGTTTATGCTTGGAATATAAAGAATAAAGACAAAAAATATCATGCATAATATATAATATTTGTATTTAAATTTAATATTTGTATTTTCACATTAATATCACTTTAGATCAGTGGTTTATATATTCTACTTTTTCACCTAAGATTAACTTATAAAAAAATCAGTAAAAATTCTTTATAAATTGAATTTATTTAGGTTTTCCATCCCACGAAGACATCATTATTTATTCAACCATTCTGGTGGTGGTTTCCACCTTTTTCTTTATTAAAAATCATTTTCCATGTTGTATACCTTAAATTTATACAATGTTATGTGTCATACATATTTCAACCTTAAAAAACAATAAACAAAAAACCCATTTTAAATGTCATTCTTTGACCTAATTTCTGATAATTTCCTAGGTTAGTTTCCTAGAGACAGGATTACTGAGACAGGGTATAAACACTTTGAAAGCTTGACATGTCCATACATGTTGCCAAATTGCCTTCCAGAAAGGTTATGCCTCTGTACATAGCCAAAAGAAAGAATGCTGTTATTTTAATGCTAGAATTAAATGCTGTTCTTTTTTTTTTTTTTTTTCTTTCCAGAGCTGGGATGCAAGGAGGATATTCAAGGAAGCTGAGAAATTCTTTGTGTCTGTTGGCCTTCCCAACATGACTCAAGGATTCTGGGAAAACTCCATGCTAACCGAGCCAGGCGACAGCCAGAAAGTGGTCTGCCACCCCACAGCTTGGGACCTAGGGAAGGGTGACTTCAGGTAGTGAGGACGATCTGTACACAGCTGATACTAAACTGGGAGACAGGGATGACGACGATTCTGGATTTCTTCTCTGCTTGTCTGAGCACAGAAGAGATGTGTGAACTCTCCTTAAATGAGGGCTCAGAAGTCCATGAGAACACATCTGGAATTTTCCAAGGAAAAGGGGATTGTCAGCAGGCCCTAACTTGAGCTTTAGACAGTTTGCCTCACTTGAAATAATATGCACCCGTTAGAGTTGCATGGTCGTGAGTATGGTGGTGTCCCCGTTAGAAAGATTCGGTGCCAAGATTTACGGAAGATGGATGTGTGAATCAGGCATTATTCCTCCCCTCCACGTTTCCCTCTTGTGAGCGAGACAGGACAGGTGAATCAATACGCCGGGATAAAAGAGAGAAAGTGGTACGTGTTATAGGAGAACCGCAGAGAACACTCTCTGGGGAATTGGAAGAGCACTGACCACGCCTGGAATGTGTGGTAGGCTCAGACAGGGCTTGGGGGGTGGGGGGACATGTGGATTAGGTTTGAAGATGAGAAGGCTTTGGACAGACAGAGCTGGGAGGACACTGGGCTGGGAGAAAAGCAGCATCAAAATGCAGAGACGCAGGGCCTGCCACTGTGTACTGGAGGCGGCAAGTTAGGCTAGAGTGAAGAAGGCCATGTGTAGAAGGCTCTGGGTGATGTGGCAGAATGTGCCATTGGAGCACGGGCACTCGAATCCGAGCTGTGTCACTTAGTGACGAGGTGGCCTTGGGCAAGGCATTCAACCTTCTTGGGTTTCAGTCTCCTTATCTATAAAGTGGAATGGTAACGACCAGGTAGCAGGTTGGCGAGTGTCTTAGCCTGGGTTCCCCAGCTTGAGATGAAGGTTCTTGTCCGGGCGCTTCATCAAAGGACAGCCATGAGCCAAAGGGGAGTGAGGGAAGCAGGGGGGAGGGGGAAAGAGTTAAGTAAGGATGTGGTCTCTGCTGGACACTTGGCCTCAGCCTGATCCCACGGGGCTCTCCGCACCCTGATTTGTACCACGGTTGGTCACTCGTTGAGAAAAGAGGACTGGCCTTTTGTACCCCCACATTAGTCAGTTACTGGCTGAGGACTCCGGAGCGTGGGAAGACCTCGTCTCCTGGCTGAGGCACCTCTCGTTCAGCCAAAGGCAGTGCAGGAGGAAGCAGCTGCTGGCCTTTCGCAGATATGACTCGGGCAAAACGGGAGATGGGTGGGTCTGCCTGGTCGAGCTGGTCCGGGAGGGCCCCAGCGGCATCCCTTAGAGTCAGGTTTGGCAAGGCTTTTCCATAAAGGGTCACACGGTAAATAGTGTAGGCTCTGCAGGTCTCTGTTGCGACTACTTGGTTCTGCCCTTGTGGCATCAAAGCAGCCATAGATAGCACATAAACAAACGGCCGTGGCTGTGTTCCAGTAAAGCCTTATTTATCAAACCGGTTTACTGACTCCAGGACTAGAGTGAGGCTTAAAAATGCCCGAGTATATGCGCGTTTCCCAGCACACGCTCTTAGGTACTGAAGACGTTAGGTATATAGCAGCTATTCTCACGGTTGTTTCACAAGAGAATAGAGGAAAAACCGGGTTAGAAAAGCAGGTCACAGTGGGCTGTATTAAGGAGTTTGGGTTTATTCTTGACCAGTGGGGGGGGACTTAAAGGGTATTTATCAGGAGGCTGACATGGTCAGAGTGGTAAGAAAATTAATTTGGGAACCTACGGAAGCATGCCCCCTGCAATCCCCCCAAATGAGACTGCTCTTGCCGAGTTGGGCAGGACCACTACCTAATTGCCAGATGCAGTCCTGATTTCACTGGGCCGCTGCAGCCATAGGCAATGTCTACAGGTTGTGTTTGAAATGCTGTTCTACGTTGGCTTCTGCACTGTCATCCGGAAGGGGACTCCCCGCTCTGTCTTCTCTGAATCAGCTTCCTCTCTCTGCTCTGTACGCACAGGGACCTCCTAGGGCTTGGTTTTTGGCCCTCTTTCCTTGCCGTTCTCTACCTGCTTCATGGGCCATTCCATTATGCCCTGTCTTATGTGCTAATAACTCCCAGTTATCAGTTTCCAGCCCCTTCTCCTACTCTTTCTCTATCTTGGCTCTACCAAACTGCTTGCGGTGCCCTGAATGCTACGCCCTTCTGTCAAGGCTTTCTCACTGAGCACTTCCAGGAGTATCAATCTCTTGTCCCTCCCTGCTGTTTGTCTACCTGGCAAACTTCTGCATGTTAATCAAGGTCCAGGTTGCTCACTGCATCCTCAGTTATGACCTTCTTGGTGCTTCTAAGAGACCATGCCTGCATTCACTTATTGCTATGCCCAAGGCTATGCCTTGCTTAGAGTATTTGCCTGAGAGTTTTTGTACCAGAGGTCTCTGCTTATCTTTCTATTAGTCTGTGAGCAACAGGATTCAGCCCTGCTCATGACTTTATATTAAACACCTTGTTCAGTTTCTAGGACACCAGAGGTAGGTCTCAAGACTCATTGGTGAACAAACCTTGGAAGGACGAACCATGCTACCCAAATCCTCTACTGCTCTACTGTGCTGATTAAATTAAATTCATTGAGATTCATTTTAATCTTGCCCATTTTTGTGCAGGATCAAGATGTGCACAAAGGTGACGATGGATGACTTCCTGACGGCCCATCACGAGATGGGACACATCCAGTATGACATGGCATATGCCGTGCAACCCTTCCTGCTAAGAAATGGAGCTAATGAGGGGTTCCACGAAGCTGTCGGGGAGATCATGTCACTTTCTGCGGCTACACCCAACCATCTGAAAACCATTGGTCTTCTGTCACCTGGTTTTTCTGAAGACAGTGGTATGGACAGTCTTTTCATGGCTCGTTTCGGGGATTCCTTTGTCTGATGTAGGCAAAGGTATTTATTATCGTATGTGACATATATTTAGTTTTTGCCACATGAAGTATATGACATATATGGGTAACTGGGAATTGCTACTGGTAAAAACATTTTTTAAAGTGTATGTCACAATAAGCCAACTTGTGGTTTTAGATCTTTGAGAATGGCATAAGGTAGGTAACTGAATACATGGTCTTGGGACTCTGAGAAGCATCTAACAGGGGGAAAAAAGATGCTAAAACAGGCCCACAGAACTGAAATGGCTTAGCCAAGGTCACACAACTTATTAGTGTCAGAGTTCTGACCAGATCCCTCTGCTTCTAGGTAAATACTTCTCAAAATGTGAGAGCTGGAACATTCTGAAAACCATTTTGCAGAGGCAGCAAACTGAAGACAAGAGAGGGAAAGTAACTAGCCCAAGGTCAAAAAGCAATATAGCAGAACCAGAACCAGAGCCCTAATCTAAAGCTTTTCCCATAATACTCTACAAAACAGAGTGTGACCTGAAATTTGAGAGCTCTTAGAGAACAGGTGGTGGCATATCGAGATTGGGGGGACTGAAAAGTTTTGTTTCTCTAGCTGAGCATGAATCTGTCCCTGTAACATCCTCTCAGATCCACGCTATCCTTTGACATCTTTGCCCAAGGCAGCCTGTTTCTCTATGGATGGGTGGGACTTGATGGCACATGATGAGTGTTCGTGAGATCCAGATTCTCCAGTAAAGATGCCAGGGCTTTCGATCCTTCCTCGTAAAAGGAGGATACTTAGAGCCAAATACATTCTCTTCTGTAGATTTCTCTGCCCTCGTGTTAGCTATTTGGTTCACAACATCAGCTCCACTGGCTGGAACGTTTGGTCAATGAGGTCAAGGTCCTGAGCTCCATCCTTGTGGGGGCAATTCGCTGTGCCTTGGTTCCTGGCTCCAGACTTTGGTGATCTCATGAGGGCTTGGGCAGTCAGTGTAAAGCCATCATCGTGTCTGAAAAAATTACTGTAAGCACCGACCCAGTGGGTAATAGACAAGTAGCAGCATCCTCCCATGAGGGGAGGAAGTTCACGGCAACCACACCTGTTGCCTAATTTTAAAATAGAATTAGTAAGTCAATTAACAGACAATTATTTGTTTTTATCATTTTTAAAATATTCTCTGACAGCAGGCGAAGACGACTGAATCACTAAGATTTGTACTAGATACAGTTAAGCCACTGGCTTGAAAAACTCTTCCTTCCTTTGGCTCTGCCCCTGATCTGTGAATGATGTTAAATAAATTCCTTCATTACTTTTCTCCCTCCGTCCTTCCCTTTTTCTCACCTCCTTTCTTCTTCCAAAAATATTTACTGAGTATACCATGTGCAAAGCATTTTTCTCAACACTAGAGATACAGTGGTGTGCCAAGTAGATACTATCCCCCTGCTTGCATTTCACTGAGCTTCATTTGTACACTAGGGATGAGCTCTACTGCTTTTTTTACATCACTGAATAAAGGATAAATGAGATCACATAATTTGTTAAAGCATTTTGAACTGAGGTAAAGAAGATGTCAGTGCATTTAATGTGTACTGTACTTCTGATTATCGAGTGGATAGTTTCTTCTAGGGAGGTCCTTTTTTGTTTGCTTTTTTCTCCCCTGGTTTACTGGCTTTTGGCCACATCTGTTTAATATTTGTTTATTTAACAAAGACTCAGAGAGGGTATCATGTAGGAGACACTAGGCTAGGGATACAGTCTTGAATGAGACATTAACAGTCACTGCCTTCATGGAGCTTAGATGACAGTAGATGAAATAGCCCTACTTAGCTCTGATAAGAGGTATTTAAGGAAGGCAATTGACACTAATGAAAAAATGAGGATTACAGGTTGCTTGCGGATTCTTCTTACCTGTTCTGTCCAAGTCTTCACCCTCTTCCAAGTCCCTTAGCTGAGAAAATGAATGTAGGGGCCCCTGGGTGGCTCAGTCAGTTAAGCGTCTGACTTTGGC